TGTTGATGATGATGACAGTGAAGAGGATGATGTTGATGATGATGATATTAATGATGATGATAGTGGTAGTAATGATGATGATGATGATAATGGTGATGATGATGATCATAGTGGTGATGATTATGATGATGATGAGGATGATGGTGTTGATGATGATGATCATAGTGATGATGATGATGATAGTGAAGATGATGACGATGATGATGATGATGATGATGATGATGATGGTGACGATGATGATGGTGATGATGATGATCATCGTGAAGATGATAATGAAGATGATGACGGTGGTGATGATTATCATTGTGATGATGATGATGATGATGATGATGATGATAGTGAAGATGATGATGGTGATCATGATGATCTTAGTGATGATGATGATAATGATGATAGTAAAGAAGATGATGATGATGATGATGATGGTGATGATAGTGAAGATGATTATGGTGAGGATAATGATGATGATTATGATGATAATGAAGATGATTATGGTGATGATGATGATCATAGTAATGATGATGATAGTGAAGATGATGATGATGATGATGATGATGATGATGATGGCGAAGATGATGATGGTGATGATGATGATCGTATCGATGATGATGGTGATAGTGAAGATGATATTGATGATGATGATCATAGTTATGATGATGATAGTGAAGATGATGATGGTGATGATGATGATCTTAGTGATGATGATAGTGATGATGATTATGGTGAGGATAATGATGATCATAGTGATGATGATGACGATGATAATGATGATGATACCCATCTAAAATTCGGACATTTACTGACTGTTGAAACAACGTAAAACCGACACGTTTCGTCATGGTTGAAAAATAGTTCCAAAATGAAAGTCGAACCGATGTCTTTTCTGGCGTCCAAATGAGACTTTTTTCAGTGTGTCTCATTTGGACCTTTAATAATTAAAATGTAGGCTTCTTATTACTGTATTAATAAAAATATGTACCGTAAATCCTCTAATATTGGCCTGTATTCAATTAACGGCCGGGTATCACATTTTGGCCGGTGTCGGAGGTATGGCCGGTATTTTATTGTGGCCGGGTGGAATGTGGTAACAAGCAAGTACCACAGGGCGGGGGGGGCGGTTGTGTCATCCGTCTCACTTGTGATTTGCCAGTGACAGACTGCGATTTGGCTGGTGCGGAGGCGAAGAGGCGGCGAAAATTTGATATCAAGTTCAAAGAGAACGTGCTGATTATGCATTATGATGATAATAATGATGAGAATGATGAGAGTGATGGTGATTATAGGGATGATGATGATGATGATGATAGTGCTGATGACAGTGATGGTGGTGATGATAATGATGACGATGATAATAATGATGAGAGTGATGGTGATTGTAGGGATGATGATAGTGATGATGATGATGATGATGATGATGATAATGATGATGATGATAGCGTTGATGATGATTGTGATGATGATGATGATGGTTATGGTGATGGTGATGGTGATGGAGATGGTCATGATGATAATGATTATCATGATGATGAGAATGATGATTATGGTGATTATAGTGATGATGATAATGATGATGATGATGGTGCTGATGATAATAGTGATGATGATGATATTGATGGTGGTGATGATGATGATAATTATGACCATGATAATAATGATGAGAATGATGGTGATTATGGGGATGATAGTGATAGATACCCTTTCCAACACCTACCTGAACCCTGAACACGTTTGCATTTTCTTCTCATGTTTTAACCCTGTAGCTCAGAGTCTAATTAACGTGGGAGGGCTTTTATGTACTCCGTCCATCCATCATCTGAACCCGCTTGTCCATGTAGGGTCGGGAACTGCGGGGGGGGGGGGGGGGGGGGGGGTGCATGCAAACTCCATGCAGAAAGATCCCAGGCTGGGAAGCGAACCCAGGACCTTCTTGCTGCAAGGCAACAGCTCTAACCACTGCACAGCCCGCTTTTATGAATAAAAATCCATTGAATATTATAATAGTCATAGTTTCAAAGAGCCAGGTCATATATAGTGAAATTTGGAGACTTAATTTGTGATAGACTGATAACATGCTGAAGTGAGCTGTGATGCATTAGAGGCATGGGGAACAGTCTGAACACCTGGCGACCTGTTCATTTCAGATATTGCATCAAGAATTTAATATATTCCATATCATCTACTCTTGTTCTAACGTTGAGCATGTAGCTAAACTATACACAGTACCAGTCAAGTTTCGAAAAGTGAAGTAGAACAAACGTCTCCCTCTGTCCTCATTATCACAGCTAAGACTAGATAATGAGGGCATCTTCAAAGACCTTTTACCTTGGCCTGGTGTGACATGCTGAGACTGTGATTTCAGTCTGCTTGTGGAAGAAATCTGGCCTCAAAGTGAAACTTATCAGACCTAACGAAGTTTCACAGGAGAGTGAGTGGCCCATCAGTCAAGCACTGTCTATGCCCACATGGTGTTGTGTCAGTACAATCACTTCTGAGTCCGTAGAGGCCTGAATCTGACCGCGAAACTTGTCCTCCAGTGAAATCCTTTTCTCTGCTGTCACTGTGTTTGTTGCGTTATACAAAAAGTAACAGCAGCGGAAAAGTAAAGGTAAGCACAGCTCAGGAACAGAGCACCTGGTGAGTCAGGCGCGTCTTTCTAGTTGTCTAAACAGTTGACTTTTACCCTCATGTTAGCAGGTTTTAACAACAGAACATTGTGTATAGTTTATTAAGACAAAATACTGAGATTATGAGTCCTGTCTGTGGCTCATTTCTCAGAAATACCTAATTCATGGAGCCATTCACATTTAAATGCACACAAAGTTACTTGGAACAGCCAGGGAACCACTTCATCCATCCTAAATGCACAGCTTCATTGTGTTTCTTGAAGGAATGCATATCATTCATCGCCAACATTTTACACTCAGATCAGCTCATGCAGAGAAAGTTATAGCTGTTAAACGCAATCTCATGCAATATCACTCAATTTTGCACAATTTATTAACACCTAGAGTATGTGCTGTGAATGACACTCAGCTATCAGGTCACATTTGAACCCCTTATATTCATTTATGTGTTTGCTAATGTGTGCTAGCTGTAGTAGAGAGCGTGTGTGCAGAAATCTTAGCAGAGAGTGTGTGTGCAGAAATCTATATGTGTCAAGTGCTGCCTTGAACAAACCATGTTAATTTTCTGTCTTTTCAGGAAACGAGGAGGCAGGAGTGGACGGCCATCATTCCCAACTCCCAGCTTATAGTCATCCCTTTCCCACACAATAATCCACGCAGGTACATAGATATCTATAAGTATAATTCTGTGCATACATGTCAAAGTGCTGGTGTTTTGGGGGGGTTTTTTTGTTGCAATTTCTGGGAAACACCACATCAGTGCTTGTTGCCATGGACACAGTTCAACCCTTTACCCATCTCATCTGATACCCTTTAATGGTAAATTGAAGTTGATGTTACTAAAGCGTGATACACACTGTGTCACTGTGGTGCATCAGAGGAAAACAATGCCCAGTGAGCAAACACTTTCACTTCACAGCATGTGTGCGCATGTTATCACGGTGTTGTTCACATGTTGTTATCAAGTCCCTGTAGGAGATCCAGATGGCTGTTCAGCTCAGACAAACACACACTCGCATGTTTCCTCCTCCGTTTACCCCGGACTCGGTGGTAAACATCGCAGTACGCCCATGTGTAAAACACTTTGTGGAATGATACATGCTTATATAAAAGTTTAAAGAATCAGAAGTAAATCTGAAACTATACTAATCTAATCGTTAAATGGTATACTGACTACACTTTCTACCTGCTCTGTCAGATGGGTGGTTCACTTCCTGCTCAGGTTCTCAGATGGAGGTCTTGAGAGCTGGTTCCACACAGGAGAACATAGAGATCTCTGATGTCGTTCCCTCTTTTCTCACGTTCTACAGCTCTGAGTGCTCTGATGTCCCCTGGCTCCACTGAGGCCTTGCCTTCTACCTACAACTTCTCTACTTACTTTTTCTTGATGTTCCTTCTAAATATTGGTCAAAGAAACAAATGTCATGCAGACCCTGCGTGCTTCAGTTTGTTTCAAGCAAACCAAGCAGGAATTAAAGGTCTTGTTCACTGCGAAGCCATGTCATACTTGTTCTTTTTGAAAGTCACACTGAGTTGCACACGTGTGCTGAATGTGAACATTGTCTTCAACCCCCATCGCCTGCATTAGCTGCCAAAGGGAAATGTATGGGGAAACAATTGGGTCAGAAAAGCCAGACTCTTAACATGTCACAGAGATAACTACTAAACATGGTCTTGCCCACCTCGGCTTGTGATGGCATAAGGCTTTATTATTTTCACGGTTATGAAAGAGTAGAGCACACCTTGGCTAGAAGCTAACCATTAGCATGGCAGAATACGTTCAGGCTTGTGTTATTTGTGGAGATAGAACATCAGCGTTGCCTTCTGGAACACCTGGAAAATAGTACACCAATGTTCCGGTTATGGAAAACACATTGAAAATGTGAAAAAAAAGGAAAATGTCCTGAAAATGTTAGAGTTGTCCTGGAAAATTATTTTCCTTCCTTGTGAACAAATACAAACAGGTAAACATTTTATGCATGAATTCCTGTTTTCAGCTGCGTTCAGTGGGTATTGGGCTGTAGCGTTTGTCTGCTTTCATTTCTGCATTCAGCCGGTGTCGGTACAAGATCTGCTCGGGTGCAAGATTGGCTCGGGGTCCTTCGACTGCCGATGACGTCAAAGTACGGCAAACCCACTCGGACAAAATACACTACACATCTTTATACTGTTAGAAAGAATTTAGCAGTTTTGTTATTCAAATAATGTTTCTTAAGACGTAAGTTTGTGTTTATAATGGTATTTGTAAAATAAAACACTATATTGTATTCATAATGTTGAACTCCTCTTTGAGCACATCCCTTGAAGGATCATAGGTATTAGCAACACCTGTGAAATTGTATTTGCAGGAAAGAAGTGTGTCCTGTTTATTGAAGTATTTTGTGTTTAGAGTTTTTGACGTCTTGTCCATGCGTAGTTCAGCTACGCTCATAGCTGCTAGCCAAAACTCTGGAGTTAAAAGTTTTCTGGCTTTACTAAAATACCTGTCTGTACTTATTTGATTGATGGTAGTTTTACTTTCTATTAGACTCCAAATGTAATCATTTGGCACGTTTCTAATTCATAATTGGTAAGAATGTAATCGGTGATATTAGCATTAGCATTCCTATGGGTTTTTCCACGTGTATTAGCATTGCGCTAACCACCCGGTGCCAAATTGCAGCCTTTGTGATTAGAAAATCTCCTTTTGTCACATCGCAATTTAATTGCACATGCAGTTAATCGTTCAGCCCTAATATACATGCAGCTCTATGCTAAAAGTGTATTTTCAAAGAGGTAATGATGGATTTCTTTGTAAAAGTTGTCCATCTTTCCAACAGATAAATTTGCCTGGACCAACGTAATGTGATAACAACGTAACGTGATTACGTAATTTTGTAAGGTTCATGTTCAGCCAATCAACTACTTTGATGTCATCGGCAGTCGACGGACCCTGAGCCGATATTGCACCCGAGCAGATCTTGTACCGACACCGGCACAGCGCCCCACGTGACACTACAAACCAATCAAATTGCTTAGAACAGTTCTGCTTCCCAGTGTGTCCATCTGTCTTTGTTGCTAGATTTACCAATTTTTCATACTCAAGTAAAGATTTATTCCTCCAAAGAAGGGCCAAAGCTAGCAACTTTCAGTGTAAGAGTCCTGCTATATCGCAGTATAGAGTGAGAGGTTTTTCTCCCTCTCTCTGTTAATTGACAGAGGAGCAAAGGGAGAGCTGTAGTGTGTCGTCACTATGGTGACCAGAGCGGGAGAGTCCCTCATTCTTATGACTTTTCTTACGTCCCCTAAATTGAAACTTGTGTCCCACATTATTGACAATCTCCCATTTTGAGTTTAAGTCTTGCATAAACTGTGTGGAGAAAGCTGCTCGTTGCTGTCAATCAAACTGGGAGGCGGGACTTTTACGCAGGTTCGGAAATGTATATCCATTTCAGCAATATAACTGACAAACAAAAAACAGTTAAAGATTTGTTGAAATAATTAAGTCCACAACACATAACTCATCAATTTCTTCTTATGTAAACCAAGCGTCTCGATATGAGCAAATGCAATTAATTTGAAAGTTTGGTCATATTTTCTAGAGTTAGTGACTGATGCAAATACAGCTTGACTGTGAGAGTTTGGACTTTTAAACTGATATCAGTATGTAAAATATAAGTTCAATTCAATTCAATTCAATTTTATTTATATAGCACCAAATCACGACAAGAGTCATCTCAAGGCACTTCACATAATAAACATCCTAATTCAGGTCAGTTCATTAAGCCAATCAGAAATAATGTTTCCTATATAAGGAACCCAGCAAATTGCATCAAGTCACTGACTAGTGTCAGTGTCTTTACAGCAATCCTCATAGCAAGCATAGAGTGACAGTGGAGAGGAGAACTCCCTTTTAACAGGAAGAAACCTCCAGAGAATCCTGGCTCAGTATAAGCAGCCATCCTCCACGACTCACTGGGGATCGAGAAGACAGAGCAGGCACACACACACACACACACACAACACACACACACACACACACAAAGTAATGTGTCTATAGTTATATTGTGATTTCTTAGTAAATATACTATTTAGTGAGAGATAAACTTTATTTTATTTATCCTAGTGGATCTATAATTAAACGGATAAACTAGTAGTAGCACATCCAATGTCAAGGAAAGCAAAAAGTTATTATCAGGAGAGGGAGAATGTTTAAGTGGTTAGCAGCAGTGTGCTAGACGATGGTCCCCTCCATGAGGCCACCACAGCTCAGCAGAACATCATTTTAGCTTCTTCTGGGGAGAAAAACACTTAGAGAGAACATAAAGTTAACAGCTGAAATTGCAGAAAATAATACAGTTAAAGAGCAGATTGTAGAAGAAAGTAGTTGAGTGTGAAAAGTGGTCAGTGTATCCTCCAGCAGTCTAAGCCTATAGCAGCATAACTACAGAGATAACTCTGGATAATCTATCCTATTTAGGAGGCATGTTGGAGGCAGGGCCATGGAGAGCCGCCTTTACCGACTGTACACTCCACCTCCCTCTACTGCCCCACTTGTCCAGATTTAGGCTAACATCAGATTTTAACCATAGGCCCTATCAAATGAAAATATTTTAAGCCTAGTCTAAAGTAGACAAGGTGTCTGCCTAACGGACTAAAGCTGGGAGCTAGTTCCACAGGAGAGGAGCCCAATAACTAAAAGATCTGCCTCCCATCCTAATTTTAGATATTCTGGGAACCACCAGTAAACCTGCATTCTGAGAGCGAAGTGCTCGGTTAGCAACGTATGGAACAATCAGATCACTGATGTATGATGGAGCTTGATTATTAAGAGCTTTATATGTGAGAAGAAGGATCTTAAAATCTATTCTGAATTTAACAGGTAGCCAATGTAGGAAAGCTAAGACAGGAGAGATATGATCTCTCTTTTTAATTCTCATCAGAACTCTAGCTGCAGCATTTTGGACAAGCTGAAGACTTTTAACTACATTCTGTGGACTTCCTGAGAGTAATGAATTACAGTAATCCAGTCTTGATGTAATAAATGCATGAACTAGTTTTTTAGCATCACTCCTGGAAAGGATGCTTCTAATCTTAGCAATATTCCGAAGGTGGAAAAAGGAAATCCTACAAACCTGTTTAACATGGGATTTGAATGACATGTCCTGGTCAAAGATAACACCAAGGTTCCTTACTTTGTTCTCGGAGATTAATGTAATGCCATTCAGGTCAGGTGACTGACTAAGCAATTTCCTTTTCTAGATTTCTGGTCCAAAGTTGAGAACTTCTGACTTGTCTTGGTTTAAAAGCAAAAAGTTTAGAGTCATCCAATTTTTTATGTCCTCAAGACAAGCCTGTAATCTACCCAACCGATTAGGTTCATCAGGGTTAATGGATAAATATAACTGAGTATCGTCAGCATAACAGTGGAAGTTTATCCCATGCTGTCTAATGATTTTACCAATTGGGAGCATATACATAGTAAAAATAATTGGTCCGAGCACTGGACCCTTTGGTACTCCACAAGTAACCCTGGAGTATGAAGAAGATTTGTCATGTACATTTACAAAATGAAATCTGTCAGACAGGTAGGATTTAAACCAGCCTAGCGCTGTTCCTTTGATCCCTACAACATGTTCAAGTCTTTCTAAAAGGACATTGTGATCAACTGTGTCAAAGGCAGCACTGAGATCTAACAAGACTAGAACAGACACAAAATTCTTATCTGAGGCCATAAGAATATCATTTGTAACTCTCACTAATGCAGTTTCAGTGCTGTGATACTCTCTAAAACCAGACTGAAATTCCTCAAACAGAGTATTAGTGTTTAAATGCTCACATACTTGGATGGCCACTATTTTCTCCAGAATTTTGGATAAAAATGGAAGGTTAGATATTGGTCTATAATTCATTGGGTCATCTGGATCCAGGGAAGGCTTCTTAAGTGAAGGTTTGATTACAGCAACCTTAAAATCCAGTGGTACATATCCATTTACTAAGGATAGATTGATTATTTCTAGAATGGGGGCAGTAACCAAAGGAAATGCATCTTTAAATAATTTGGTTGGGATTGGATCCAAAATGCAAGTTGAAGGTTTGGATGAAGCTAATATTTTTGATAACTCTGAAAGCTCAACTGGATCAAAACGGTTCAAGCACAGATGAGGTTCTACAGTCACCTCTGATGCTTTCTCACTTACTGAGGAAGAAGAAATCGCATTAGGGAGGATGCTAAAGATTTTGTTTCTAACAGAATTAATTTTACTTGTAAAAAATCCCATGAAGTCATTGCTGCTGAGGGCTAAGGGAATAGATGGCTCAGAGCTATTATTCTGTGTAAGTTTAGCAACTGTACTGAAAATAAATTTAGGATTATGCTTATTCTCCTCAATTAATGCTGACAAATAAGCAGTTCTAGTTTGTCTAAGCTTATTTTTATAAAGCACAAGACTATTTTTCCAGGATAGGTAGGCCTCCTCATGGTGTGTAGAGCGCCATGTTCTCTCCAATTTCCTAGAGTTTTGTTTTAATGACCTGCACTTGTATAGCGCCTCTCAGAGTAAGGACTCCAAAGCGCTTTACACTACAGTGTATCATTCATCCATTCACACACACACTCATACACTGGTGGAGATGAGAGGCGAGGCTGCCGAGCACAGGCGCCACCGGACCCTCCGACCACCACCAGCAGGCAAAGTGGGTTAAGTGTCTTGCCCAAGGACACAACAGCAGAATTCTCTGTCCGGAGCCGGGATCGAACCTGCAACCTTCCGATTACTGGACAACCCGAACAACCTGTTGAGCTACTGCTGCCCCAAGGCTCGTAAATGAGAATTAAACCAGGGAGCCAACTTCCTGTCCCTAACTACCTTCTTTTTTAAAGGGGCAACATCATCTAATGCCACACTTAAAGAGGAATTAACATGATGAACTAAGGCATTAATTTGTGTGGGGCTAGAAATGAAAATATTGCCCTCTGCTACATGCCTCTGAGATGCTGAGGACAGTAAAGATGGAACAGTTGATTTAAAAGATGCAACTGCGTTGTCAGATAGAGACCGACAATAGTGAAATTTACTTTCATGTCTCGAGAACTCAGTTATAAAAAACTCAAAGGTTATCAGAAAGTGGTCAGAGAAGACTGAATTATGTGGAAAGATCATTATTTCCTCACACTATGCCATAAGTCAGCACAAGGTCTAATGTATGATGGCAGGAGTGGGTGGAGCTATGTATTCTTTGAGTAAAACCAATTGAGTCTAAGATATTACTAAAGACTACATTGAGGCTATCATTTTCAATGTCCACATGAATATTAAAATCCCCCACTACAATGACCTTATCAGCATTTAGCACCAAATCAGATAAAAAAATCAGAGATCTGATCCGAAAACTCAGAGTAAGGGCCTGGTGGACGATATAAAACTACAAACAAGAGTGGTTTTACAGTTTTGCGATCTGGATTAGGAAAACTAAGAATAAGATGTTCAAACGAACTGTAACTATTAATCTGTAAGGGACTGATTAATAAGTCCGAATGAAAAGTGGTTGCTACTCCTCCTCCTCGCCCTATACTTCGAGCAATATGATGATTTAAATAATTTGAAGGAGTCGACTCGTTTAAGTTAACATAGTCCTCTTGCTGCAGCCAGGATTCTGTGAGAGAGAGCAAAGAGATCTGATTATCACAAATCAAGTCATTAACTAACAAAGTTTTAGAAAAATGGATCTAATGTTCAACAACCCACATTTAATTTTTCTAGTTTTCTGCTCAGTTGAATTTGTTCTAATATTTATGAGATTTCCATGATTTGCTTTATTAAGCCTGATATTTAATCGGTGTGATTTTGGCCGTGGGCAGGACACTGTCTCTATGGGGTAGTGGGTGAGTAACAGTACAGAAGTGTATGAATTAAAGTAGAGAATCACTTCTATTTTAGTTTTGTTGCATTGCAAAAAAAGGAAAGCAGGTGGCATGGGGAGCCTAAGTCACGCCTATCTACTTCCGGACCATGGGTCCCCAGAAGAACGAAAAAATGAATGCAAGTCAACGGGGCTAAAAGAGCTATTTTCTAATTCCGCTTGTTTTGTGCCATGGATTTCACAAATTATGTCCATGAATTTTAAATACGCATTCTGATACCAAGTAAGCACTTATTTTTCAATGGGGGGAATGAAATTTTAGGTTTTATGTGAAAATACGTCCAGGACTACAAATGTGCATCACCAAAGACACCAGACACGGAGAAAACTGAGGGAAAATGGCTGTAAGTTCAGCAAACTTCAAATCCTTCCTTCAGGAGGAAAGAACCACAATAAATCTGGTCATTTGGTAAGTAGCAGCAATGCTAGGGAAGAGGAGATTATGTGGTGACGTCATATATCATATATGCAACGTGCCGAGGACTAAGTTGTAGTCATGCTAATTACGAACTTTTACAAGATGATAAATCTCAAAGTACGTGACTGGCATGGTTGAAACACCCATCATTACTTTTCATTTAAATTGCAGTACAACATATGTGTGATCCAGGGTGTAAGGCAAAGCGGATTAGAAAATAGCTCTTTTAGCCCCGTTGACTTGCATTCATTTTTTCATTCTTCCGGGGACCCATGAGCCAACTGGAAAGGGAGGAAACTTAGGCTCCCTGTAGTGAAAGACAACAATCTTTGCACAACTATAAAATCGATATAGCGGTAATAAATACAGTATCATATCTGTTTCAAAATACATCCTGATATCAAAATAATATCACCCAGCCCTAGTTGTAATCACTCTATCCGTACTGCAGCAGCTGAAAAAGTCTTGAAAATGTCCTGGAAAAGTCCTGGAAAATCATGTCAAAAAAAGAGTGGGAGCTCTGATTGTTTACCCAAGAAAACATGTAGCAACAGCAAAAAACAATATGAAAAAATGCTTTAACATCAGCTATTTGAAGTATTAATATTTCAAAACCAATATTTGTTTATTTTCATATTTGTGCGGTCCTACATATCTCAAATATGCTACCAGGAGATAAAGATCAGATATAACTCCTGTATTTGTGCAGATTATAAATTACTTAGTTAATGATCCTACACGAACACACAAGCTTGTTCTGTAAATGAAGCAGGAACTAGCCAAGTAGAAATGCTTTTTTGTCAGTCATGTAAAACAAAATGGGCAAGAGTGAGCTTTCTGCGCAGCCCCAAAGCCCCATATCATTATACATACACCCTCGTGCTTGGCTGTCATCACTTCTCACACACTGATGAAGCATCATTAATTTGGAACACAGTGTGTTTACATGTGCGTCAGAAAACAGAACTATTGCCCTAAATAGACTGATTAGTCTGCCTGAAGATGAACTGGTTCTCATTGTGCTGAAGCACCCAGATAATGCGGTAGGATCACTCCTTGTGGGAGGGTAACTCTGAAGTGCCTTTTTTCCCTCCACCTGAACCAATCCTCATGTAACCCTCTTATCTCTATTAAGGTAGAGCGACTCGGGTTGCGAATGACCACAGTCACCAATTCTTGTCATGTGTCTTGCCCATGTATGTCTGATCTCTGAATTGTGTGTACTGAAACTCTAATTTCCCTCTGGGATTAATAAAGGATTGATTGATTGATTGATGATTGATTGATTGATTGATTGATTGATTGATTGATTGATTGATTGATTGATTGATCCCGCCTTCATCCGCATGTAAACAGCTTTGTTCAGTTGATGCCTGTAAGTTGTGAGACCGTGGACACGGTCTTCTGATAATATCATTGCTACAAAGTAACACGTGTACCACCATCAAACAGTACAGTACGTACCACATAAGCTGTGCAGCAGCTTCGGTCATTGTGCATATCCTGGTCTAATTTCATCTGCTTCACTCCAGACCAGTGTTTCTTTACTTTTTGTGTTGCTATAAGCTAACTTGAAGAATGGCGAGACGAAAGGGCACATGTTGCCATCTACTGTACCAGATTGGAGCAAACTTCATTTTTTGAGTTTATTACTTTAGATCCACTTAGATCTGCAGATGCTCATGTTAACACATGGATTATTGAGAGAACATCAAAGTTTGTAAAAACTGCGTGGTCTAAATTGCAGCTGTAGGTATAATTAGAGTTAAATTACCTATGATTTCTTCTGGTGGCTTTTCTAACAAACAATCTACAGCAGCTGAATTTGTTGTTCTTTTTCTCCCTTTTCTCTGTAGTTGGAGTGCTAAGTTGTACCTTACTCCTAGCAATAGTGTGCTGTTGACGGCCATCGCTCTCATCGGAGTGTGTGTCTTCATCCTCGTGATCATCGGCATCCTCCACTGGAAAGAGAAGGTCAGAATGCAGACACACTCAAAGTGGTGTGGTTGGTTCTGGCCTCTTCTTGTTAATATCCGACCATCCTTGTGTGTGAGCTAATTTTTCACAACCAGCAGCAGACGGGTCTCACCATTTCTGTCCTGCAGTCCTCAGGCCACCTCACCAAGCCACACACACACACACACACACACACACACACACACACATTGGTTCTCTTCTCCACTATCCGTCTATCCATCTCTGCGGGCCACAACCTGGAAGGTGTTCAGCTGTAATTGCCTTCTTCTGTCCTTCCAGCTTGGTAGATCTGCAGCTCATTATTGCCTAAATATGCCCTCCAGGGAGTCACTGGATGTTTTCTCATGTGTTTTGTGCTCAAGCTCCTTCTGGCCTGGTTGTTTTCAGCAACACACACTCAGTTAATGCACAAAATCATGTACCTCTTCACAGAGTGGTCAAGAATCAAGGACACAAGTGTTTAACAGCCATTCTTGCAAAATGTACTTTTTTGTTTGGGTTGATTTCTTTTTATTCTACAAATACTCCTTTAGTGGTGTTTGCTGTTCCGAGTGCAGGAACTCACCGGCCTCTTCCCTAAACCATCTGCTGTGTGTGTTCCTGTTTGTGCGTGAGCAGCTACACACATGATAGTGTCTGCTAGCATGGCATCTCACACTCAAGAGCTCAGATGATCCTAACTTTAAAGCTAAAGACATGTTCATCAGCTTCTTTTAAACAATGTGTTAGCTGTGTTTGCTAAACCCAGGAGACACGATGGGCTGTTGGGATTTAAATTACTTGTTTGTTGACACCAGGCAAGCTGGTCTGAGTGCTTTAGAGCTTTAGACACTCACCACCAACCACCTCTAAGGTTAACAGAGAATGGTCAGACTGGTTCTAGATGGTAGAACAACAGCAGCTCCAATAACCACTGGTTCCCACTAAGGTCTGCAGAACCACAACAGCTGCTCCAGATGGACTCCAGCAGCAGAAGACCAAACCAGGTGTCTCTCCTGTCAGCTGGGAACAGGATTCTGAGGCTACAGTCCACACAGGATCAGCAGAACTGTAACAGAAGAGACTGGAAAACCCTTTCTGGTCTGATGAGTCTGGATTTCAGCTGCAGCCTAACCCATCTTTCGATGCTACCTCCAGCAGGACCATGCACCATGTCACAAAGTTCAGATCATCTCTAACTGGTTTCTAGAACATGACCATGAGCTCACTGGACTCCAGCGTCCTCCACAGTCACCAGATCTCTGGCCTGGCCTGCCAGACTCGTACTCTGTTTAACTCTGCTTACTCACAGGCAGAGAGGCACATGAGGGGCGGGGCTAGCCAGCTCAAAAATGACCAGTCAGAAAAAAGGTGGAAATGCCGACTGTACCGCGCAACTCTGTAGTTTTTTAGCTGTAGTCAAAAAATAGCATCTGGCAACGAAGCAAACATCTTTCTTTACATGTTAGATGTTTAGCTTCTTCTTCTTCTTGTTTAAAGACATGTCCAAGTCATTTAGAACAGAGGAAAGAGCCGCAGCGAACTCCGCTTCAGAAGCTGTTTTCTTGTTTATGAGAAACTCGGCGTCATGGTGTGTGACACACGCTGCTCAGCGCTGATTTGCTTTGTTAGAATTCTCAGGGGGTGGAGTTATTTGAATAGAAGAGGTCCCAGACGCAAACCCTCCCATAGGGAAGCATGGGGCAAGCTGGTCAGGCTACCAGATCTCAGTCCAGTCCACAACAGGAGACATCACCTCCATCATGGATGGACCAGAACACCTTATTGGATCAATGATGAGAATTAAGGTGGCTCTAAAGATAAGAGAAGTACTAAGGTAGCTGATAAAGTCACCGTGAGTTTACGTGTGGAGGAGAACGTTGGAGGTGGAGCATTTTAGAAGCATCGAAAGGAAATATTGACTGAAGTTGGGTTATTAGTTCATCTTCTCCATTTCTCCTGTAAATGAAGAATTATTGGCTGGTGGGAAAATTCTCTTAGTTTTACTTTTCTTTTCATTAGGATGAGCTGTTGGTCCATTATGCATTAACCCAACACAAGTGCATGACTGGACCGTGGAACACTCAAAAGCTTTTAGCCCATTAAGCATCGATCCGGTCTTTGGGGTCTTTATTGGTGGTTGGTGATTAGATAACTTTATTAACCAGAACAAATCTGAGTGTTCATGAAAATAGTTTGTGACATCACACTTCTGTGTACATATGGGATACCTGACTGGACTAAATGGCTTTGGATAAGGTATCAGTTACATAAATAAATGTAATTACTCTGTAGCTGTGTACCAGGTTTCCACAAAGCAGAGTCTCTACTAAAACGTGCAGCATGCAGCAGAGCTTTATGGTTTAGGAACTGATGTTGCTACTAAAGGTTTCTGTTAGACTCCTAGTTTGTTGTTATGTTATAACTTTTAGGACTGATGAGCATTTTACAGTCACAGATTTTTAAACTGAATTCTGGATCTTCACAACACTGCAGAAAAGAAACAACCTTTTGCCCTTAGTCCTGTTTTCTGAGGCAAAAATCAATACACCGCTAAATGAAATGTTTACTTTTAATATGCTGTCAGTTCTGTTGCAGCCAGGACTGGAACCCGTGGTTCCTGTGGGCTTTGACTTATATGATTCTGTCAGGTTGCTACTGCAGCCAGACTCACCTATTGTTCACTCGTGGATTGTTGAGTCATCACAACGTTCTGCTTTTAGGTGTGTTGATCAGGTTGACAGCGAGTGGTGTTTCTGAAGGCTCTCTTGGGTTGTGTGTCTGTTCTGTGATGCTGCTTTTAACTGACTCTGAGCAGAAGCTTTAGAGGACTAAAGGTTAAAGATGGTCACAAATGCACATAATTAGATCAGTAGCTGAAGCAGTTTTTGGATTATATCTAGATGCGTCAGTTTATGACATCTTTGAACCATCAAAATCCATTCAGTTGTGTTGAAAAGTCTACAAGCACGTTTGTTTCTTCTGTTCTCTAAAGAATAGCAGAAGGTCTGGTAAAATCAAATGTTGGGTCCTCTGCGTATAATCCAATCACTGGATGGTGCTCCACAGCCAAAGAACAATGAAGTAAAAACCAGACCAGAGCACTCAAAGTGAAGAAGTATTTAATAGGTGCGAGCTGTCTAACAAGCCGACAGGACTTCTTTACACCTGTTAAATGTTTTTTCACTTTGAGCGCTCCGGCCCTCGTTTTGCTTATTTTTACTTCGTTGGTCTGAAAAAAAAGTTCTGTTTGTGTTTGAAAACCGGATCTCCTTCTGTTCTCATTAGCATCACCTGTTGTTTTTGATAACGTATTACACACTTTGCCTCAGTAATTGTTATTTACATCATTATTTTGTTGTTGTGAATTATTTTATGTTGAATTTATTTTGTTAAACTCATTTTGTGGTTGAAGGTTGGATTATACTGAATGAGTTGTAGTCGTGTTTGTGAGTCACGCGTACAGTATGTGAGTGTGTGTGTGCATGTGTGTGAGTGTGTGCAGGCACGTGCGCGTGTGTGCGTGTATGCGCTTGTGCATGTGAAAGTGTGTGTGTGTGTGTGCGCGTGTGCATGTGAAAGTGTGTGTGCGTGTGTGTGTGTGTGTGTGTGTGTGTGTGTGTGTGTGTGTGTGTGTGTGTGTGTGTGTTTGTGATCGTGTGTGTGTGTGTGATCGTACATGTGTGTGAGAGAGTGTGTGCGTGTGTGCCTGCATGTGTGCGTGGATGTGTGTGTGTGTGCATGTGCATTATTGTATGCATGCACATGCATGTGTACATGTGCATGTGTGTGTGTGTGTGTATGTGTGTGTGCATTATTGTATGCATGCATCATGTGTGTGTGTGTATGTGAGAGTGTGTGCGTGTGTGTCTGCATGTGTGCGTGGATGTGTGTGTGTGTGTGCATTATTGTATGCATGCACGTGCATGTATGTGTATGTGTCTGTGTGCGCTTGCATGCGTGAGATTCAGATCAGTTAGCCCTCTCACTTCTTTAGTCCTCCTCCCTGAACCATAAAAGAGGTTTATCTGTTTTCTCTCTATTGGTTTTTGTTCTATAATTAATATATCTATGTTTTTTTTTATCTAGATCATACATTTTTTCATTAGATGTTCTGTCTTTTAATTGTTTGTTATGAAGGATAGCTCAACCGCTTTACCAGACAATCCAGGTCATTGTAAAACGACTCAAATAAATTAATGTGAAATTAGTTATTTTGGGGCAATCAGAGGTTTGATGTAATTATCAACAAATAAAAGAGACTTGTATTTTATTCAAATAAAATAACAGCATTTAAAGTAAAGTAGTAGGAGTATCTTCAACATAATCATAACAAACTAGATGTTAAACATTATAATCATCACTGATGTTTTATTTTGTGTTTAAAGTTGTAGCAGGAGATATTTTTCTTAATCATCTTTTGACACACTGCTTGAAATGATTCACACACTGATGGCAACCAGTAAATTAAATATTTTGTCAAAAAAAATGATAACTTTAATCACCGACTTCAGCAAAATAAAATCAGCTTAATTATTTATTCAACCCCCACCCCAGGTACTCTCATACCTCTGTATTAAATCCAGTGCAATCAGTGGCCTTCAGAAGTCACCTAATGACATCACTGTGAACACATCATCCGCAGTTTTTTCTAATGTCAGTTTTTGTCCCCTGCACATTTTACCATCCAAGAACAACATTACACTATGTTAAATAGACTCTGGTTGAGCACTAGGACCAAGCGGAAAACAACCGCTTGTGTTGAAGCCTGTTTCCCATTAGAACCGTCCATAAGCTCATCTACTGGCTCTGCTGATACTTGCTGAGGTGTGATTGGTGATTCCTGCCACCTGTGTACTTGACCGTTCTGCATTCCTGACATAGCATAAAATAGCCTCTAGGCTGTAGTTTTAGACAAATCTTTTTATTCTTACTGTAAAGACCCCCCACCCCCGGACCTGATCCTGGTTGTGCCCCCCCCCCCCCCCCCCCCCCTTTACACTGGTGCCTTTATTTTC